TATATATATATATATATGTTTGTGCTTAAAACCTAGTTCATTGTCATTCAGTATTAATCCTGTCAAGGTTCGAACGTGTTTTTCTGTGCAGATGTTATTAGGCTGATAGTAATGCCTAGACTAAACTTCCAATTCTCCCTGTTAACTAAACCAAAAGTCGAGGCCACGTCCCTTGTGTTCTTTTTTCTTTTAGAAACTAACCATGGGACAAAGCTCAGGCTCACATCTTCAGTCRTGACCAAAATAACCAGCTTCRAAGCACCATTAAGTTTTGTTTTAAATCTTCTGATGAGGTCTTTTATTTTGAAGAGAAGGCCGAATCAGATCTAACTCTCTCCATCGGACCTGACGCAGATCTTCGGAGACGCTGAAAAATCAAAACTTTGGAAGTTTTTTTACTGGAAGTAAGGGACCTGACCTGAGTTTCTTACCAACCTGGGTGAATGCTTGCTAAACGTTTAACCTGACGGTCAAGAAACCTCCAGGTAAAAGATGAATGTTTTGACTAGTGTACTGGAGTTCGGGCTGACGCGTCGGAGAGACCAAGTGTTCGTTCTGGTTTTCTCACATATGGATAAGTTAAAACGTTAGGGCTAACACTCCTCCTTTCTTTCTATCTTTTAAATTTAAACCTTGCCATCTAAGTTTAATGTACCTGCAAACATCTGGTTTATTAGGACCTCAAACCTGAATTTCTGCTTTTTCTGTTAGAGTTGTCATATCGACATTAATTAGTGCGGACGCCTGCCTGTTTTTGTTGATGTTTTAACTCACAACAAAATTTGATTGTTCACAATAAGTTGCATATAAATGATGAAATGATTTACTTCAATTCTATAAATAAGTGATCTCATTTACGGCCAGATGAACTTGAATTCCCTGACTAAAATCTGACTTATTTGTGTATCCTCATATTTACACAGAAGGGGTGTTTATTTCCTTAAACAGAGGAACCCGTGATTTTCCTAATAACAGTGGTTATGAGAAGTGTAGTTGTACCAATCTCTACAGGAGCTTCACTAATTTGTAAGAATTTGTTTAATCTGGGAAGATAGCCTGCTAATCTAACACAAAGCCCTTCGTAAAGCTAGAACTGTGTATTGTTAATAATAGAAGAGAATAAAAATTATTTCAGGTTTCTGTTCGGTACTGTAGCTAATCTAATGAAAAGTCCTATCTCTATTGAGCCATGCATCCCTAACACACACACACACACACACACACACACACACACACACACACACACACACACACACACACACACACACACACACACACACACACACACACACACATTTGTGTATGTGGTCCTCTGGTAGTGTCAACAAATTATTGTGGCTCCTTCCATCATTTAAGTTGCCCATCTCTGTACTATTGCCTCTTGGTTTCCTATCAAATGAAACATCTTTAGAATTGTCATGGGAATGTTTGTGTTTTGACTGTTTTTGTCCTGTTGAGCTGTCTGAACTGTCAAAAATACTACAGTACATTCATCCAAACCATAAACATGKCTGCTAAATCCTGTCCCAATCAGACTATTCAGGGAGGTGTTTCCCTTAATTAATATCCCCATTTCAGATCTGCTTAATCTGTCTGTAATGAATGGTTCTGTACCACAGGGCTTTGATGTTGCTGGAATTAAACCTTTACTTGGGAAACCGGATTCAGATTCAGGAGCTCTGGCCAATTAATGACCTACATCCGATCTCCCATTGGTCTCAAAAATGCTTGAGAAAATAGTGGCAAATCAATTGTGCGAATATCTGGATGGAAGTAATCTTTATGAGGGGTTTCAGTCAGGATTTGGAGCTCTTCGCAGCACAAATGTTGCAGCCTTTCACTTCCTCTGGACAGCATGTCAGTTCCTGACCCCAAATTTGGGAATTACTGTGTTCGAGCTCACAGAGTTGTGATCGTAGTGATGACTATCACATTTCATACCGTCATCGCAATTGCAAACTTTCCTAATATTGTACGGCCCTGGAGGTTTAAGAGTATCAAAACTGTTTTTAAATTTGACCATTTTCTCAATATGCGACATACCTGATGTGGAGCAACTCTTTTAAGAAGCTGATCAAAGAAGGAGTCGACTGCATCAGTGTATCCTGAGTAGGTCGTTCGTAGCTGCATGTTTGGATCCCGCAGCAGCCAACTAAAGAATCAAAACAATTAAGCTTTGTGCTGTAAACACTTTTAAAGTAAAAGAAAGACACCAAGTTATATGTGACTAACGTTTTTAACCTTGACTGTCAGCCGGGCTTTACTATGTGCCTATTTAAACACCTCATTTTGTGTGATTTTCAAATAAGCACTGTCCCAAGGGCAAGATTGTTCTAAAAATATCTTCCATCAGTCTTTTCCTGCCAACAATTACCCAATTATATGTCTAAATGTATTTTAATTACAGAAGTAAATGAATTCATCCTTTAAGGGACACAGGCCTGTCAGATTTAATTATTGCTCACTCCAAATATCTCGCTGAAAGTCATCAGTGACTTTCATCAGAGTAACAAAAGTGGTCAACCTAAATGATGTCGATTTCATTGCCCTCTATTCTTAATACCCTGTAAGGTGGGCCACTAAAACAAATTACTCTCCAASAGGAACATGGCTGCTGAAATGGGCACTTAAAGAAATTCACTTGACTTTTTAGCCTGCAGCAAACACAGCTAACAAACAGATTACCTGACTAAATAATCCATTTCCAATCCAATTTTGGGGGATTGCTGAGCACACCCACAGGCTAAACAAAAAATTATTCATCATATTGTTAGTATGACTAAAACGAAAATAAAAACAGTGTTTGATTCTGGTTCTCATGGGGGTTTTTGTTGTTGTTGTTATCCTTACCTGGGTAGTCCACCTAAATCCCATTCAGCACAGATGTATGGACCGGGACGCAAAATCACCCACAGACCCAGGTTGGCTGCGACACGAAGGAAAGCTCTGAAGAAAAAGTGAAAAAAAATATTTATAGTTAGTGGTCTTTACTCCTTACCTGTAGAAGTTCATTTAAAACGAGTAAAGCACAAGTACATATAAGTGTTTTGAACTAATGTAAAGCCAGTGATCAATCCCAAACCACGTTACCGCTTCACAAAGTCATCTTAAAATGCCCGTGACATCAAATCTTTGTAATAAGTATGAATGCATTTTTGGAACTATAACTATGATAGCATATTGCAAATACATTTTCACACTGCTGCGATGAACCATTGTTGAAATTTTTGTATGTGATGAAACAGGAAGTGATGTCAAAGGGGAATGTCTGAATTTAAACAGTGTTGCTACAATGGCTAACAGACTGTAGAGAAGAATCTGATGTTTCTATGGATTATTTTGAGTCTATCGGAGAGATGAAGAACAGTCAGAATTCAAATATCGTTTCAATAAAAAAAACATGAATATTTACATGTCCATAAGCGTGTCCGTTTTGCTTTTCTCCAGAGTGTTTACATGTTTTTTTCTTCTAGTGTGCTTCTCTTTTATTCTCTAATTCTTTTACTTGCTGTAATAAATGGATTTTCCCTCTGAGATCAATAAAGTATTCTGATTCTGAAGTTTATTTAAAGAGTTCCCCTTTGACGTCACTTCCTGTTTCACTTTGACTAAGCCAAATTCAAAAGAAACTACACCAGTTTTATGACAAAATGGGTAAAATCGTATTGTAAGTTTTTTAAATATATATTTTTTTGATGTTCTGTATTTGAAGGAAATGCATGTCACAGTTACTATATTTTTTCTCAAAATATGTGACCCAACACATCAAACTGAGGATTAAGAACAAATTGGTCAAAATGACCTCAGAAAATTTTCAGATTTCTGCTTTTTAAGCTACATTTTGATACCTGGATCATGCTGATGTCATGAAAGGTTTCCAAAATATGCTTTGATTTGTCTTTCTAATCTGGATAACTCATTGATATTTAGCAAGAATCCTACTTTTGCTTTATTCTAATGAGATATTGTTGACATCATAATCACCATCTGGAAAGAAAAATAAAACTTTGCTAGCTTGTGGGAACAATGACAAAAATTTAAGGCTTTTTTTTTTTTGCTCAAAATCATGTTTTTTATTTCTATTAAAAAGGGCTTCAAAAATTATCTCAGATTATATTTCAGATATTTAAATGACCCACAGATTAGGTATTTATTCATTATATTTTTGACAACATGCAATTGTTGCAAAMGTTTTAACCACTGAACTATAGCGGCCTCTTTCTCCACATACTACTTTATAACTTAATCTTCAGTTTGATGTGATGGCTCATTTACAGTATATGCTTTGCATCATGATACATTTGTTTCTGTTATTATTTTGTGAGTGTGAAACACATTTAGTGGTCCAATAATTTGATTATCAAAAAAAATTATGCAACCTTGACTCTAAAACAACTAATTAATTAAATCAACTACAAACATTTTTTAAGAGCCAATGTATACTTGCGAAGATGATTCARCGCCAACAAAGGAGACAGAACATCTCTTGCAGTACAACAGCGCCCTCTGCAGGACTTGCACTTTTCTACACAACTTTTAATTAGAGTTCTTACTCCAAATCCAGCTGATCCTCAAAATCAAACACCCCTCTCTCAGGCTCATGCAGGTTCCATGGCACATACCTGAAAAAACAAATACAATGGCTTATATAATTAACAGTTGTCCTTTTCAGTAATTTATTAAGGCTGCTCTTTAAAAAAATAAATTATGCACTGTTCTTTTACAAGGTCTTTATGCCTTATAAGTTTTATTAGTTCTGCTTTGACAGATTAAATGTATTTTATGTATCGGCAATAGCCTTGAACTCTGCACTCTTGTGCTGTGATATCTACACAACCAGGACAGAGTTAGAGCTTACGTTGTGAGAGTATTGAGACCACAGGCCTTCATCTTCAGCAGCCGGTCCTCCCAGTAGGCCCTGGGGACTCTGAAGTAATGGACAGAGCCTCCCAGGATGCGGAAGGGTCTCCTTTCTAAAGTGAACTGAGACGAGTCAGCCCTCAGACCTTCTTCACGGTTCATCTTTATAACTTGCTGATGATACCTGAAGGGTAGAGGTGGGGGAAAAAACATGTTCAGAAGTAACAAATCGTGACATTTCACACATCAGCTTTTGTCTGAGCTCTGATTATTTAAGGTAACACATTTGTAAATCTATCACAAAAAAAAAGAATGCAGCACTTGTGTGTTATCTTGTGTTTTGCAGCCTGTGTTAATCATTACAAAGCGCTTATTGCTGAGTCAGCTAAACGCACTTTTAAAATTTGACAAATGGTCAGTGTAGAAAGAACAGATCTTATTTGCATGTTTCTGTGAGCAAATAATCTAAAACCAGGCCAACTGGATCCCCATCTAATCTGAAGGAATTTCACTTAAACCACCTGAAACTCACCTCAGAAACTTCACACACCCAAACAGGTAAGGTACCTGGTAGCCAGTCAGGTGAACTTTCACATGTATATATATACACACACACACACACACACACACACACACACATATACATACCTGTATATTAAAGAAACAGGACGACTAAAACGAAACAGTGAAGCCATAAAAGCCGACCACAACAAACTGTCAGTGGGCGGGGTTTATTTACACCTCATGTTGTTTTAGACAGGAAAACACTCGTCTTACCTGGTAAACTGATAAGCAATTATCACCACTGCAGCGAAGCAAACCAGGAGCCAATATCGCCGTTTTAAGGACAGCCGAATAMCCAATATCGACACGTTTTCCATTGACCGGGAATAAGAGCACAACTTCACYGTCAGCAGCTCTCTCTTATCTGGGTTTCCTCTGTTTCAGCACTGCGCATGTCTGAGAGACCCCCTTCCGACTTTTAAACACCCCTCTGGTCAAGACCAAACACTCACCTGTTTATCCTGTTCTACTGCTATGATAAAATGCAGAAATACTAGAAATACCACCAGTAAAACTGAGCTACCATATTAAACTATCGCTCRCACTTCCGGAATTAATGTCCTAAAATAAGTCTGTAACAGAGTTAGTTCCCATGCTGATACCTAAAAACACTACTTTTGTTTTGTTTCTGCAGAAAAACTAGTGGGCGTGTTTGGTGTTTAGGGACCGTCATAAAACTACACAGACTGAAAAAAAAAAACAATAAATTGATAGTTTATCAAAAATGAAACTGTTCACGCAAACGTTGGATAACTACAAATAATWAAAGTATAATATGTAAAAAAAAATGTAATAATTTATTAGGAAAATAAAATCTGATTTGGGGAGGGTAGAACTTTGTGTGATCTCTATCCTTTCATTTTTTATGATTTTTTTCTATTCCTCCATCCTAAAACTTTATTAAACAATAAAAATACAACAATAGCAATCAGGATGACAATATTAGGAGAGGCAGCATGAAGCAAAGCTGGAGGCAAAAGCATTTCCCAAACAACTGTTCACAAACGTCATAAGATTCTCAACTAAATTTTGCCATGGCTAAATAAATAAATGAACAGTCTCCTATAAGTCAAATATAAATGATATATTTTGCTGTTTTAATGAGTTTTTTTTACAACATATTCTTTATGATTTAGGATTTCTGTTATATTTCTGAGTCATCAGAACTCTTTGACCATTCCATATTTCAACACCCAAACTTCATGTTTCAGTGACATTAAGGCTTTTCTAGTGAATGTAGAAGTTCATCCACTGACCAAAGTCTTCTGCAGAAAATAAATCCAGTTGTTTTGAACCTCAACCTTTATTCACAATTACACATATAAATATAGTAGTAGTACAACTTTAAAATCCAACACATTGTTAAAGGTTGATTAGGCTGTGTGTCTTACAACATGCTTGCATTATGCATTTTTAAGTAAGTAAGTAAAGTTTTGTTTATATAGCACCTTTCACAGAAATAAATTCACAAGGTGCTGTATATTCAGGGAAAGGGGGAGGGGGCAGTTAAGACAGGTCATGCAGCAAACACAGTTGCGCTACCTTTAGACAAACAGACAAACAGAAAAAACTGAAAACCACACAAAGGAAAATGAGGAAAAAAGCAGAAACATCATATTATATCAGCACTGTGACACACTATAGTGTTTATGAAAAAAAAAACCTCTGCATAGAGCAAGTTCAAGCCAGAGGAGTAAGTGAGTTTTAAGGGGGCCCGAAGAATCCAGTCCCCAAGGCCAGCGCAGCCGAAGTTCAGAGTGTTGATGGTTCATTCTGTGTGGCCTCAGCTTCCTCAGGAGTCAGATCATGCGGGTGAGGGAGGAGGGAGGAGGAGGGAGGGGGAGAGCTGTGTCAGCGTCTTCCAACCAGGAAGGATTTAACCAACAGATCCAAGGCCGTTGCCAGGGGAGATCCAGACTCTCTAATCAGTTGTTTTGGGAACAGAGAGGACAGGMAGACAGCAACAATTTTCCCTCTGCCTTAATGTCTGCTGATACTCTCAAGGTGGCAAATCCAATCAGACAAATGGCGTGGACACGTATACCGCTGAGCCGATTCATCAGCTTTCTCCAAGATCAATTCCATCTGGCCAGTAAAGTCCAGGGAGCACAGCCGGCCCGCAACCCTCAATAGAACCGCTTGCAGACCGAGCCTAGCTCGCTCAAGGCAAATGTCCGAGTGCTGATAGAATACAGCCGTCCATCCATTTGGTCAGTCAGCCAGAAAGTGCAAAGCCACCGATGCTGTTTTGTAGAACACCAGGAGACTACCCAGCCAATCTGTAGAATCCAGTGATCAGAGTCCAAATGTATATCCAGARCAGAGAAGAACAGAGGTCCCACCTTTAACATGTCCTCCCATGGAAGCAGAAAAATAAACTTTGGTCCAGAATTTTTATTGTGAGACCAGCTAACCAAGTCCATAAAAATAAAAACATCCATAATTTCTGGTTTCGGATGAAAAATGTAGAGCAGGCTCCAAGCAGCAAAGCAGGGAAAGATAAGGCAGGGCAGGAGAGAAGGGAGAAGCGTCTTACTCCTTCGAGAGCGGAAACAAACAAAAAAAAAAGTACTGTCGAACTGATTCTTCCCTAAATGCATTTCACAGTTGTTGTTTTGTTTTGTTTTTTGGTTTTTTTTTTTTCTTGAAAGATCCAGCAACTCAGCAAATCAAGCACTTGTAGAAAAGTTACAGTTTCTGTATCAGGACTTTAGCTGTCATTCTTTGTTTTGCCACAGATCATCTAATGACCCAATAGGATGTAACTTTATATGCAATGTAGAACTAAAGAAACTGCAAAGCACTCTTTGACCCCACCCATGTGTTTATGAGGTTGTTACTTTCTGTATGGTGGAGCAACATTGCTGAAGCAAATGAGATTATCCATGTTCCTGACTGAAAGGAGAAGAGAAGAAGACAGAGAGGGAGCATTATTGTTCTCAAACAACAATAGATTATTGTCTTCAGTGTTTGATGCCTCCCAGCACCACCCGACTCTAGTAAGCTCAGCATCGAGGCACAGCTCTGACTGTGTTTTTGTTGAAACATTTTGGACTCCCATAATAACACTTTGTAAGGCTATTCTGGTTAAAAGAATTCAACATATTCGAACAGAACTGTTGTAATACTCAGCAGACACACCAGATGGCAGTATAGCAGCAACTGACACAGTGTACAACCATCCCATATTTCAACACCCAAACTTCATGTTACAGTGACATTAAGGCACAGTACAAAGTAACTTAACTTAAACTTGCACTTTTGTTTTTCTGTGTGTTGTCTACATCAGGCTTTCATCACAACAGAGCATGTGTTTATGAATATTTTGGGAGCTTTGTATGAAAAGAATTTCTG